TCGTTGCTTTCATCGCCTTGGCGTGCCCCGATTCAACCAGTCTTTCCACTTTTTTTTTATTTCTTTCGGTTGACGTTAGCACGCTCTCTACAGATGGCAGCGTTCCCAAAAAGACCAGCGGCTCGTCGCTTTCGTCTCGGTCGCGTCTTCCATGGACATTGCAACGTTAAAATTTTGTAACCGTCGTGGCCACACATCGGACGATAAGCCCTGATTTCGCTCAGTTGCAATCGCATCAGCGAAAATGCTTCAGACGTGCACTATCGTTTGTTGGTCGCTGTGCAGGAAGGCTTGCTATACGAGACCGCGATTTTCCTTGACAGTCCGTTGTGTGTGTAGCTCTCGGCATCATGGAAGTTTGTTGGCCGAGGAGAAAAACAGGGGCTACATCTTGGGTACCGCTGGTACGACGGCAACTTTTGTGACGTTACTGTACGTACAGTACTCGCACGATTGTGCTACAGTTGAAACACCACGCTTGGCCGTGTGCGTCTACTTGGCACCAGTGTGTGGTAACAAGTGTGTTGTTATCGTTGTTGCGTTAGCTAATGCCGAATTGCAATCGGAATGCTCTTTTTCCAAATGGAGTGAGGCTCTAAGTATTTCTGCTATATGCTCGCTATTCCACAAACATTATTTCTAGAAACTCATGTCATGTGGATTTTCACCTACAAGAGGAGAACCCAGCATACTATAGGCCTCCGCATTTCCCATTTAAATCTGAGTAATGCCACGCGTGCGAGCTTCGTGTGTAAACCTCAGTTTTTCGACCTACATTTGAAATTCATTTAATAGAGAATTGTGGCTTCAGCGCTGTTAGTGATTAGATTTTCAGAAGTACGTGGTTGTATTCCAAGTTCCTCAAAATTTTTCTAGGGTCTCAGAAAAAAAAACGGTGTTACTATACTATGCAAGGCTATGCTATGCTTCGAGCTGCTTGGCCCATACCGACTTTCTGTGCCGCGTTCCAACAGAGTTTTCTTTTTACAACATCGGCCATCCACCGAGCCTAATCGGACCATCCAAATAAGCAATTGTTTATCTCTCTCTCTCTCTCTCTCTCTCTCTCTCTCTCTCTCTCTCTCTCTCTTTCTCCGAGCTCAAACAGCTCAACTGTTACATTTTTTTTCTGCACGTCGACAGCGTGATCATGACAAGTTCTAAGCATCGCAGTCTGGGCAGTGTGGTAGCACTAATTACCGTGATAGCTTCGTTTTCCTGCCACCATCGCCTCGGTAAAGAAGAAAGAATATTAGAAGACGAGAAACTCCCAAGCCACGGCAGCGGGCGAGGGCGACGCGATGAAGTCATGAAGCAATGCGGTTTACGCCGCAGCTCGCAAGATGACGCTTTCGGCATCTTGCCATCTTTTTTATGCGCTTCTATGGAGGTGGTGCATAAAAATGACGATTGCTCTTCGATACTGTAAGATTTTTCAGATTTGTGTCCGTAGCATCTATTGGTAGACGTGATATATATTTTGGGGCCAGTTACTAATTGATATTGCCGAAATTAGAAGCCGTACAGTGCTTCAAATGAGCTGCTAAATGGTCCCTGAGCAGGCGACGTCGGCGCCTGCACATGTAAGCGCCCCTGGCTCCTCGCTCGCATGTTGTGCGCGCGTGGTCTTGGGAGGCAAAGTTGCCAACAAGCAGCGATTCCTTTCGCGGTCTTGGCTTCCTCGCGTTTCGGCGGCGACGCCGACATGGGCAATTTCTCGGTGTCTGCGCGCGCTTTTCTCGCCGTGACGAAGTAGGGTACTTTGAACATTTCATGAGTGGTTTTTCGGAATGCGGAAATAAGTGTGCTTTGCTGCACTCCATCAGCGGGTAGGCATCCTTCAAGGGCAAGATAATTGCCCTCAAAGTTTCTAGTGAGGTTGGAGGTGATGGCTTGCACCGTAGCAAGAAAAGATCGAGAGCGGACAGGGACTTATACAGGTGGTGCTATGGGAGTGAGCTTGGTGAAGTTCTCGACACACACACACACACACACACACACACACACACACACACACACACGCACACGCACACGCACACGCACACACACACACACACACACACACACACACACACACACACACACACACACACACACACACACACACACACACAGGAAAAGAAACTGGACCTTGCGTGAAGTTCGGAAAACTCGTAAGGACGGATACTGTGGTGGCTCAAAGTAAATATGATTGCTCATTTTATTTGCATCTTCTATTTGTGGTCACGAACAGCGTCAGTTTTTCAGTCACACTCAACGACGGCGATGCCGGCATTTCTGCGACAACTAGCTCTCCAACGCTGTCGCGCTAAAATTTGGAGCCAGCGAGTACGCATCGGAACACATACATTTGGGCGTGGAGTCATAGAATGAAGAATCAATGGATGGTGAAGTGACCTTGAATAAAAGCGCGGTCGGCGCCCGCGTTTTTTTTTTTTTTTTCACCTCCGCTAGCCGAGTTTCAAGACAAAGGGCGCGTCATTGCTGTGCCTGATTTAGTGACGTATTCAGAAAGTCCGTGCAAGCGCAGCTTCGTCTTCTTTATTCTCTGCCCTCCTCCGGAACTCTTGGTCCGTGGCCTCGGTATTGCTTCGATGATCCTACCACTATCACTGCCTAATCGCGAACTGAACAAAGATTAATAGTAGTCGAGAGAGGCATTTCGTAACGTGCACGTTCTTTTTTTTCATTCTATTTTTCATCAGGCTTGTCGAGTAAGCGATTTCGAAGGTAACCGAACCGTTCGAGTTCTAAATGAAGCACCGAACTAAACAAAAATAAAGTGAACCGTAAACAAAATTGGCCCTAGAGCGCGGTCGTTGTCAATGCCATCGTGCATGATTTGCTTCTGCAAAGATAGCTAACGCATAGAAAACTGCAGTGCCCACCGTGTAAGTCAGTTCAGCTCGCTATATCGCACTGTTGAATTAGTTTCACGACTGTACAAATGGTTTGGAAAAAAAAGTTGCGTGTGGTTGCGTTGGCGTATCAATCAAGTTGGAAAGTAATCAAAGGACGTATAAGCGAAACGTACCTGACACGTTGGTACAGTGTGATGGTTGCTTGACCTCTAACCCGAAGGTTGTGGGATCGAATCTCGGTGACGGCGGCAGCAGTTCAATGGAGGCTGGAGACCCTCTTAGATTTAGATGCCCATTAAAGAACCACAGGCAGTCGAAATTTTCGCAGCTCTCCATGGCGTTTCTGACAATCATATCATGGTCTTGGGACGTGGAACCTCAACAATTACATTAGCACAAGCAAAACTACTGCAATAGGTGCCCCTTTGTCTAACGCAGTAGCTGCGCGCTGCGTGCGAGTCTAATTGCACGTGAATTAGTTTGCTATATTTTAAAGTGAAATTGTTAATCTCACCAGTTATGTAACACCAACCCCTCCCCCCCAGGTGGTCTTTAAAGAAAATGATCTGACTTACTGATTATTAGTTTGTACGCTGTTGTGGTACCATACCAGTACCGTGGCTTCGAACATTCGTCGCGATAGGAGTTTCCGGAAAGAACGCTCCAGAGTGACGAACAGACGTTTTCTCGGGCGAATCTATCTCAGCGTGTGCATAATAAGGACGAAGATGCCATCAAGTTTCGCTGTGCGTAGATTTTGACCGGGCACGTCTTCATCAACTTTTTCCCCGTGCCGCGCATATACCACTGCAACAACAACAACAACAACAACAACAACAACAACAACAACAACAACAACAACAACAACAACAACAACAACAACAACAACAACAGCAGCAACAGCAACAACAACAACAACAACAACAACAACAACAACAACAATAACAATAACAATAATAATAATAATAATAATAATAATAAAGTATTTATTAAAGGAGCCCTGGAACAACCATGAGGTCTTAGTACAGGTGCACGCAAAAGTATAAAAAATAAAAATGGAGGGAAAGAGTGAAAGCGCACAGAGAAAAAGGAGTCAGCTCGAGAGGCGAAAATTAAAGGACAAGACGAGAATAATGGAATGGCAGGGAAAGACAAAGTAGAATATACACTAATATGTGCAAGGCTTCTTGAAAAATGGAAAAGGGTTAGAATCTGCAAGTCATGAAAAACTACCTTAAGAGAGCGCAAAGCGGAGATAAAAACAATGAAAGCGGAGTGTGAAAAACACCAAGATCATGAGTGTCGACTTTGTATTCTGTGAGTGGTAGAGTGTTGAAAGAAGTTTGAAGATACATGCATTGCCATCACACAGTTCGCGGACCGCTATTGTCTCACCTGCACAAAAGAGCGATCGCCGCCGCTGCTAGGATGAAACCAACGTCTTTCGGGTCATCAGCGAAGCACCGTAATGATTGAGCCGTCCCGGCGGCTACAGCAGCACTCGCAACCAACATGCAGAAAAGGCTGGGAAGGACACATTTACGTTGGAGTGCTGGCTATACTCGCTATGCGGAAGGTAAAGCTATAGTTCCCGATTTATGTCGTATTTAGTTTTTTGCTCACCCCTTTTCTGCCTCTTCGTCGCTTTGCGTAATACGGGCGTGCAAATTTACTCTTCTGGATTCCTGAGAGACAAGAATAGAAGAAGCCAAGAGACCTCGCCAGACACTTTGTTGGTTTCACCTTTTTCGGCACCGGGATATGATTCTCATCGACGACGTGACAGTCATATAGACGGTCTGGAGTCGAAACGTGGGATGTGGGCTGCGCAGTCACTTATCTCAGCTAACCACGTCCTGTAGAGTGGCACTTCCGTTAAATAAGCAGAACGGAGTATAGTTTTTAAAGTGTTCAGCCAATTATACATCCACCGCAGAAATTCCCCCAAGTCAGGACCCTCGTGAATTTCTTCAAGTCGCCTTTGTTCGACGTTTACCCATTTCATTCATAGTCGTGTGTCTTTTCTTACGTATATTGAGTTTGCTCGCCCTGTTCTAGCTTATTCTTTGGAGGGGGTTTGGTTCTTTACCACGATACCTTGGCGCAGCGAAATGACAGTCTATGCTGCACCGCGTGCAGGTGTTCCCTTGGAAAGTGCCCAGGGCCCCCGATCCGCCACCGGGCCGCTGGTGGTGGTCGTGGCGCTCGGGCGTCCGCGACCCGGCGGCCGATGCCGAGCCACCATCCCGCGCCAGCCGGCCCAGCTTCCTGGCCATTTTGGCTGACGAGGGCGTCGACTTCCTGCTCAACATGCTCAACAACGCCATTACGCTGCACAAGCGCGTTGTCGGCACCCGCCACCACTGCACACCATCGCACCGGTACGGTTCCAGCAGTGCTGATCATTATCCGTTTTTTCACTGAATATATATATATATATATATATATATATATATATATATATATATATATATATATATATATATAGAGAGAGAGAGAGAGAGAGAGAGAGAGATCTAACAGACAGTAATGCCAAGGAATGTATAGGGGAAGCTATTAGAACAAATGGAATGTAAATAAGAACAAAGAAAAGTGGGTCAAAAAATAACCAGCCGTGAGCAGGAATCGAACCTACGAAACTGCTACTTCAAAATTCACATATAAACCCAAAAAAGTGGATGGAGGGAAGGCCGCTGTGATAGCTCAGTGGTTAGAGCATCGAACGCGGTATTCGAAGGTCGCAGGTTGGGATCCTGCCCACGGCAAGTTATCTTTTCACCCACTTTTCTTTCTTCTCATTTACATTACATCGGTTCTAATAACTTCCCCTATACAATCCTTGGCATTATTGTCTGTTAGATCTCATTAATATTGTGTCAGAACTAGAACTAGGAAAAACGAGCCCTTAGGTATACGCCTCTTTTCCTTATATATATATATATATATATATATATATATATATATATATATATATATATATATATATATATATATATATATATATATATATATATATATATATATATATATATATATATTCCTGCATGTAGTAGACGCAGTCAGGATGATAATGATGATGATATGGCTGATACCGGTAGTTGTCAAGCCGTTTTTTCACGATACGGCTGTCTACTATGCTAACTGATATACATATTTAAGAATAGCCATACAGACAGATATCGACAAGAATGAGTCGTGGCGATTCACGTAGATACCATGGCGCTCTCAAACACGTGACCCGGCCCGCACCCGCCTATGACTGTCTTCGTCCTCATGACTTTGAGACTGAACTTTAGCGACTTTGTTATATTGCGCTCATGTTTTTTTTTGTTGCTTTGTTGCGATTGATAACTTTCTGGCTTGTTAGGTTACGCAGAAGTTACTGGAATTGTACGTTTTTTTGTGTTTTTTTCTATGAAGTGTCGCATGCTCTGGAACAAAACAGAATCTTTGCTAAAATCGGCATTAAGATTTTAGTCATTCTGCAGACCAGTATTGATAGGTAGTTTGAGACTTCTGAGACCAAATCTGCGTAAGGAAACCCTGGAACACTTTTCCAAGTAGCCGTAAAACGGAGTCATTGAAGAAGCTTATTGCCTTGCGAATTGGCCACGGCAAAAATTTTTAGAATCCGTCCAGCTGCCACCTAGGGGAAGGAGACAATTCTTTCACATCTTGCCGTTTTTTTTCTTTATTAAAGTTATTTCCTCCTCCTCCATTCAATACAAGCGGATTTACAAAGATTTGTCGCACGCCGCAATTGAATTCCGTCCTTTCTTGTCCCGGTTCAAGCGCTCGAAGCTATGCAGGGACGAATGGCATGGGACAGAAGGTACGTCACTCATGCCTATAGTTGCCCCGCCGCGGTGGTCTAGTGGCTAAGGTACTCGGCTGCTGACCCGCAGGTCGCGGGTTCAAATCCCGGCTGCGGCGGCTGCATTTCCGATGCAGGCGGAAATGTTGTAGGCCCGTGTACTCAGATTTGGGTGCACGTTAAAGATCCCCAGGTGGTCGAAATTTCCGGAGCCCTCCACTACGGCGTCTCTCATAATCATATGGTGGTTTTGGGACGTTAAACCCCACCAATCAATCATGCCTATAGTTAGCTCAAGCATTTCTCTCTCTCTCTCTCTCTTATGAGTGCGCGGATTTTCAGTGTGATTGCGCGCGAAAGCTCGAACACGTTGCGGCCTCTCACAGCAGCCTTAGTAACTCTCCAGCATGCCATGCTCCAACCAACCAATGACATTAAACTTGCGCCTGTGACGCAATCTTTTTTCAATATAATGCATCATTTTTGAGAGAATAAAAAGTCATTTTTAGTTCACATTGAACATTTATGGGAAATTCCAAGTCGCGTTCTGTGCGATGATATTTGGCTCGCGTGTTCTCGGAAGCCTCGACTACCGATCGGCAGCGTTTTATTACCACTCTTAAGAACTGTTCTGGGCCACTTTAAGAAATGATTCATATATGACATACGAGAGAGGCCTTCCTTCGCCCTCTCACTCTCTCGCTATTAATTTCTTCGCTGTGCAGGCCCATATGGGATAATTTTTTTTTTTACTGCGGCCGGCTAGTTTTTTCGAGTTTGAGAGCCCTGCTACACTGCTACATAGTAGAGAGTAATAGCAGAGTGGGTCAGCGAGCCTAGCGGAGTAGTGGAGGGGTCAGTGGAGCACAAGACAAAAGGAAGAATAATAGCCGAGTTAATGCTCCGCTTTTTCAAAGGAGACAGCGTAGCGCATCGGTGCGCCACCTGTTGAACATGGTTGAAGCTAGTGTCAATCGAGCAGAGGCTTTGCCTGAACAAACGTTGGCCTGAACAACGCCGCCTTTATTTCATTCAATGCTCTTCAACGGGAGCCATCGGTCCACCTT